CCAATAACTTTTTCTTTATCATTAATGATCATTATTGATCTTTATTAGCATGTTTCATTGCATCTTCCGAACCGTTCTTAAGAACCAGGAAAAATGTAAAAACAGATGCAAATGGACAGCCAAAGCACAAGATTCAACATCCAAAACTGAGATGAGAGCTTCCAGCCTCACAACAAACAGCATGGATCTGTCTCTGCAGTGCCAGACCTTTGGTGTGGGCTGAGTTTCATCTTCCAAGTCGAGCTGCAATACCCTGAAAGCAGAGCAACTGGAAATGGGCACATCACCGGGATGCAACTTTGGAGCCTTCACCCCTTTGAACACGGATATCACCAAGCCGAGCTCCACGGTGATTTTTTTGGTGGGCGTGTGGAACAAAACCACATTGCCAGCCCTCAGCAAAAAGGAAGAGAGAGAATGGCATACTATTGCGCAGGTAGTTGAAAGTAAAACGGATGAGCTCTGAACATCCCTGACAAAACAGCTGTATATGTCTGATAGGTTCTGAAAGTATTTCCATGATTTTCCATGTATTTGATTGTATTTGTATATACGCTTTTTCCATTACGTTCCCATCATTTGCATTCATTTGCATTCATTTCCCTTCATTCCCCTTTATGTCTTCTCATGTTTTATCCATTTTGTAGGCACATAGGTAAAAACTACCATTTTACAGAGATTGATGGCATCACAAAATTTCTAATGGAATCCCCAGTGATTTGCCAGCACAACTTGGACATCCCTGCTTGTCCCCAGTTGCCAAGTTGCACGAGTCTTTCTGGCTCAGCTTGCTGGATCTGCAAGTCATTCTGGGCGACTTTGACCAACTCCCTCCAACGATCCAATCTGCTAGCCCTCGTTCTGTAAACCGGCTCATCGCGCTCAGCATTGATCTCGGCAAGGCGCCTCTCATTGAACCTGGGCATGTGAAAACGAAAGACTATGACAAATTCATGACTCACATCTATTTAGCACAGTTATATATATATAGTGTATAAATATTGATGGATATTGATACATATTGATACATTTTGTATATAGATGTATTTACATGATTATGTATATATAATTACGATTAGTTATGTATGCATGTAGAATTATATAACTCTACAGGTAGTTACAAATACATGATATATACATTATGTATATATATATATAATTATATATATAATTATATATATAATATTAATTAATATTATATATATATGTATATATATATATATGTATATATATTATATGTATACTTGAAGGCCTTCAAAGAAACATCATTCTCAAAAACAGCCTTTGGTTTCCTTGATTGAGCATGATCGAGCCATCAACAATGCAAACCGAGATGCTGGTGCTAATTCAATTTTTTCGCCGCCCTTCTGCAGTTCCTCGGGTTGGGTATGAATTGCAGGTCAGACCCTCCGCGAGCAGCTCGGAGCTTGACAATGAGGCGGAACAATGCATTCCACACACATCCTCTCATCTCCATGGCTTCGAGAAGGGAGCTTGGAAGGTCATCTCCATGCTTTGCCCGGCCTTCAACTTGCGGGCTGTTTTGCTCCATTCCGAAGGGCTCACTTGAAACTTTGCTTTCGCACAGAGCCCTGAGCTGGTCTGCATCAGCCTCACCCGACAAATCATCCTGTGCACCCAAGGTTGCCTCACCCAGGTCAGCTTGATGGTCAAGCGTTTCAATTGGGTCAAAGAGCTGAGCAATGACTTGAGCACATCCGCTATTCTCAGTGCCACTCCTTTCCTCCGGCTTGCCGAGCTTCTCCATTTGCTCCTGCAATTCTTCATCCTCCTCCTGATCCAAGGCTGCAAAGGAAAAGATGTCACCTTCTTCGCAACGCCTGCGGTAGGTCGCTTCCAAGTCCTCAATGCCAACCTGGCTACATCTTGCCACCAACAGCAATGCCCCACGTAGAGCACGTTCACAACATTTCTGGAACCTGGAAAGGGAAAACGCTTTGGAAACCTTTGGGCATGCATGGAAATAGAAACATGAGAAAGAATCACTAAGAATTCAAAAAAATAGATAAGGATAGATAAGGAATGATAAGGAATGATAAGGATAGATAAGGAATGATAAGGATAGATAAGGTATGGCAAAGACTGACAAAGATACATAAAGTATCATAAAGTATAGTACAGTATAGTAAAGTTGCTGCTCCTTGTAAAATGGTTGGAATGGACTTACCCTGTAAAATGGATCAAAATGGATCAAATATATATGATCAAGTGGGTTCAGGTGAATTAAAATAGTTGGTCTTGCTCACTTTTCTGTGTCATGTGCATGCATGTGCTCCATTGTGCCCCCTCATTCCCTTGATATTGGCAGCAAGAAACTGTTCGTCCGTCAAAGGATCTTCTCCAGTTTTGCTGGCATCCGGGAAGTTGTTCTTGGCCTTGTTGAGCTCATCACTGACCTTGATTGCACGTCTTGCTGCAGCAATCCAGTACCCTCTGCTGGAAAGCTGTGCCGTGCTGGATTGGCCGCGCAGCTGGCCAAAGAACTGCTCTACCGCTATCTCTGATAGGCGTCCTTCACCATGTTTCCATGGTGCGAACCCTTTGGGTTTCGCACAGGAAATTGCAACCGTGGCGAGGGCAGAACCCTGTAAATTCCACATACTTTGACCCGACATGAAGGTCGAGCCTGTGGGTAAACCCAGCTCTGCTGAAATCTGAATTGACAGCATCCTGAACATGTCCAGGGCCAAGAAACCAGCAAGGCTGGCTTCACACCTTTGAGCCAAGGACAGATCCTTGTGTGTCACTGGGCTCGTGCAAAGACTGACCACCAGATTGTGGACTGTCATGCCCTTGTTGCACCAGGGCACATGGAGACTTGACAATGGCCCATCCTCGTGGGTTTTTGTTGTGCCAACAAGTGGGAGGTGCTGGCTGGCAAGTCCCCAAGCACATCCAAAAACAGCAAATCATAAAGCATCACAAACGTCATCAAAGATCACTAAACTGTACTAAACCAAATGAAACCAAAAAAAAATTCAGAAGACCATTCAAACATATTCAAACACAGTATCATCAAATTTCAAAATTCATCAAAATCTGCAAGAACATTGACTAGTTGCTGCCGACTCAACCAGAAAGAAGGGATTGTTGATCAAAGCGTTTAGCTTGTCACTCATGGGGTTGGTGCGGGCATATGCACTTGGCGGTAGGCCGTTCTGCCGAAGGCCTGTTGGGTCTGCCCACAATCTGCCGTACATGCAGCAACGCAGCAAGCTGTTCAATTGCCCAGCTGCGTTCTTTGAGGAATGGCCTAAGTCGTCAGAAATTATTCCTGTAAAATGGTAAACTCATATACCTCCTCTATATTCTTCTATAGTATGGTTATACCATGTTATACCATACCAATCCCTACCATTCTATGCTATATCTGTACATGTCTGTCCGTATCTATCCATGAGCACACATACCGATGCACATCGAAGTTGATCTGTTGCAACCTATTCTTTTTTAGAGCCCATGGATGCCCATGGTTACATGTTGAAAAAGATTGGCATATCCATTTTACAGGAGTTGGTTCTTGAGTTTCCATTTTACAGAGGGGAAAAATTCACACAGCTGCAGCCAAAGTTGCACGGTCCGCACATTGCAAAGAACGGCTGGTCTTCATGCAAGGCTATTTGGAGGGGCAGCCTTGGCAAATTGTGTTTTGGCAAGGGCCGGTAGGTCAATTTTGAAAAGAAGGGTACCTTCTCCAAGTGGTCGAGATTGACGTCATCAGTTTGCCCATGGAGCAGCTTCCTCACAAATGAATGTGAGGAGTGAGCATCGAAGCAAACTCCAAGTACCACCTTGTGGGCATAGGACAAAAACCTGCCCACCACCTCCAGCATTGCCCAGTTTGCCTTCAGAGATCCATGTACACCATTGCCTCCAAACGAATGATCCATGGGCATGGAAGCCACGGAGAAGGGTGTCTTGCGCACGGCACAAGGGTCATACACCAAGAATTCTAACATCGTCGATGCTCGAGGTATGTTTTTGACCTCAACTGCATCGTCCATGTCGATGAAACAAGCCTCTTCAGCACCTGGTGCCCATACACCCCCGACCAAACCATACTTGTTGTGGAGCTGCAACTGGCAAAGCGCCGGTGAAAGGTACGTTGCATCAAAGCAGCACCAGAGCCGGCCTAACTTCAAGTGTTCAAACTTTTCAACCCAAACTATCTACCAAATAAACGCCCTGCAGTCCCCTGGGCATATCATCATCTATGGCTGGATATGGATAGATATGGCTGAAACATTTGGCAAGCAACGCTTCAGTGAGTACGGCTTCACGTTGAAGCGCTGGTCGAGAAGATTGCAGTTCTCCCGCATCACTTCATCCCATATCAGTGCTACTGCTGGACATGGTATGCTCATTCCATGCAGGTCATCAAGTTTGGTCCTGATGTCGCCTCGAATGCCAAACCTTGGTGGAAGAATGTTGAAGATGGTTGAACATGGTTCAACGAGGCACAATAGTTTTGTATACTGCATTCTCATGCTTTCCCTAGGAACGGTATAGGGAATTATAGGGGTATATCGGGATATGGCAGGATAAAGAGGAACATAGCAAATATAAATATGATTAAAATTGAGTAATTATGTACATATATGAAATATGAATATATAATGATATATAATGACAACTATATATATATATAAATACGTATTAATAAATAGAATTAAAATGCATTAAAACTTATTAAATAGATTTAAATAGTCTCTCTTGTAAAATGGATCAAATTGCTATGGTGCTGTAAAATGGATAAATGGTGGTAATGGTGGATACAACTTTAGAAAAGAGGATACATAGGAAAACTATGGAAAATTCATGAAAACTTTGTGTGCCCATGGGATCTCTTACAAACAAATACTGTAATTACATTGATATTACATGTAATATCAAATTAATATTATGTAATTACAAAATGATACAAAATGAATCAAACTGATACAAAATGAATCTAAATGAATCTAAATGATACAAAATGAATCAAAATGATACAAAATGAATCTAAATGAGTCAAAATAATTCAAAATGAATTCAAAATGAACCAAAATGATCCAACATGAATCAAACATAATCAAACTGAATCAAGCTGATACAAGAGACTGCTTGCCCAGCTTTCCGTTGCCAGTCGCCATAGCCAAACGCATCCCTGCGTCAGCCACCAATGCAAATTCTCGCTCAGTGCGGTCTTTGCTGGGGCGGCCAGCCATCGTCTCGACTCCCCTCTTTTGCTTGTCCATCAAACGGAGGCAGGCAAGAGCCATCCCCTCCAGAAGAGGGTTGCTTTCAATGCTTCCATCCAAGGCAGCCGCGGCCAGCTTCAGCTTGGACAGTTCCGCATCATTGACATCCCGGCTGGCTATCATGGCCTCAAAACGGGCCGCGACATCTTGGAAGCACCCCTCAAATGAACTGACGTTGCACCGGAGTGTGGGTTTGACCACGGTAGTGAGGAAGTCCAAGCATTGCGGGGTGACTTGAGTTGCATTGGTGTGCGTCCATGTGGCACGTACCAGCTGCTGTAAATGGTGGTTTGGAAGCTTCAAGACTTTCTCTGCTTCCTTGGGGTCAGAACGAAATGCTGCTGATTTTCGCACTTCCTCTTCCACCAACTCACGTGCTTCAGCTCCCTGAAAAAGTCTGGCATTCAGGAGCTTGGCCCAGAGGTACTTTTGAGTGAAGCGGGTCACATTTCTCACCACTGATCTCTTTCCAGAACCCAAGTGGATGCACTCCGGACATGTCTGCCAATCTTCCTTTGTCTTTTCCATGTTTTGATCACAGCCCGAGGATCGTATGATCCAACCAGCACCATTTGGCTCTTGCCAATAGGAGTGCGTTGCCAAGCTCTCCAAATTTGTGAAGGCAGCCCATGTGGAAAACTCAGTGCGCATGTAGTAAAGTAGGCCACCAGAGATGGAATTTTTGACTTGCAAGCCCTGACACGGGACGATTTCCTTCTGATTCTGTGGCTGTCCTTCTTTCTCAAAAGCTGCCAATTGTTCAATGTGCTTTTGTGTCCTGAAATGCTGTCCCAGATAGTACTTGGCCGCAGAAACTTTGGGCTCCACCAAGTCGCCTACTTTGCCATCCACTTGCCGCCGGGTGCGGCATAGCCGACAACGGTAAGGCAATGTCTTGCCGAACTTGCCTGGTTCGAGAAGCTCAATGTGTGGAGCAAAGGATTCCACATACTTTCTCCATGCATCTGGTGCTTCTGCGTCAGTGGCAGCAGGCCCAACATTGGCCGCAGCGCTAGCGTCAGCAGCAGGCGTCTCTGCCTCATCCTCCTTGGCAGGCTGGTCAACAGAAGATTTGCTCTGAGCGATTGCAGCGTCAATGGCGTTCTTTAGGGATGGTCCGGAGAACTCGTACTGGTTCAATGCAGTCAGGCAGGCTCCGCACTCAACTTTCCGCTCAGACATGTCCTCAATCAGCATCTTTTGGAGGTCCACGTAGCCACCAGTGCCACAGATGTAGAGCTTCTTCATCGGAGCGAGCCTCACGATGTCGGGATCAGTTGGGAGGAACCATGGACATTCAAGGGCCAGCATAAGTCGGCACACTCCATCTATATATATACATATATATATATACATCCAGAAATCACCAAATATAATCAAATATCATTAGACAAGTATATCATGTATATGCATGTATGATCATGTATTATCGTGTAGATTCTTGATGATTCTTGTAGATTCATATAGCTAAACAATGCTAAGCAGCTAACCAATCTCTTCTGTAAAATGGATCCCACATACAATTACCCTGTAAAGTGGATAACCACCTGTGGGAAGTGTCAAAAACTGCACCACCATACCTAATGATGAGTCCATATGATTCCAGCGAATCCTAATGATCAGCCACAACATACCTATACAATTCTATTCAATCCTATTCGTAAATGAAATATATTGAAATATATTGAAATATATTGAAATATATTAAATATCTTAAAATAATAATAAATTATATAAAATTAATTAAAATTATATAAAATTATCCTAAGCAAAATTTCTTAAACATTCTTAAACAATCCCTGCTGTAAAATGGTTTCCCCATATGATTACTATAAAATGGATACATCAATCATCATCAATCCCTTGCCTGGTGTGGATTTTCTGGTAGGCACCATATGTGAGGCCGATGTTTTGCAAGTACTTCTTGACAGTTCGCAGGGCCACAAGTGCCTCGCATTGCGCTGCCCTTCGACAAGTCCGTTTGTAAGTGTTACGCTTCTTGTTCCTCATGCAAGGGTCAAACTCTTCTTCATCTGCTCCAAAGATTGGCTGGATTTGCAAGTTCTCGGGTCCTCTGAGCCTCTTCTGTAGACTCTGGCGCACCTTCGTCATGATGGATGTTCACGGCAGCTCCGGCTTTGGCAAGAACTTGAGGTCTTTCTTGAGGTTTCCCAAAGCCAGTTGGTCGGCAAGACCGAACTCGTTTCGGGACCGTAGAGGGGTTGCCCGGCGTCTCTTGCAAAGGATTCTTGTTGGCCTTTTTTTGGGTGTGGTTTCCGCAGACATCTTGGTCACCTTGCTCGGTCTGACTTCAGCATCATGATCAGATGGATTGTCCTTTGCCTTGCCATTCTCAGCCTCTAGTTGCTTTCCACTGACCTTCCCCCTGCCCTTGCCTTTCTTTCCCTTGCCCTTGCTGCTGATCGTGCCGGCCTCATTGTCGCTGACCTTGCCCTTGTCACTGACCTTGCCCTTGCCTTTGTCACTGACCTTGCCCTTGCCCTTGTCACTGACGTTGCTCTTGCCCTCGCCCTTGTCACTGACCTTGCCCTTGCCCTTGTCACTGACCTTGCCCTTGGCATTGTCGCCGGCCTCGTCCTTGTCAATCTGATCCCGTGGTGCCCTTGCATCAAGTGCATCAAACTCCCCCAAGGCCTGAAACAAGGTCTGCCAAGCGATGTTGGTGGAACATGTGGCCCACCTCGTGCTCAGCTCCTTAGTAGAGCGTCTTGGCTACAACAGGCTAACAAACCTGAACTCCTGTAGAATGGATATTTCACACACATTCACATTCCTGGTTTACAGACTGGTTCCTCCTCGATCCTATCACAAAAAAACGCACACAAGGAAAAACACATGCTAGAAGGAATGAAAAGAGCAATGGATGCTTGTAGGTTCCCAAAAGTGCTCATGCATGCTCATGCTATTTGGTTGTGGTCCAGGATTCAAGATACAGTAACGCTGAAAACATATGAAACAATACAGACAACAGCTCATTGAATAATATACGAGAATCATGGCGGAGTTTGCCGACATCATCCATCTGCAACTTCTTGCCAGCGTCAACAGCTTGCGGAGAACCTCTCTCCAAGGACAACATGCTCCATAGACCGCAATTGCCATCTGCAGGGACAAATTCAGGACACTCCAATTCAATCGGGCCATTGACAGCACCAGAGCATTGCTGATTATAAATGTTTTTTAAATACATATGCAGACTTTTAATGATTTTTATATTTATTATATATTATTGTAATATGTTGCAAGGTTAGCCCTGTAAAATGGTTAATTTTATGTTCCACCTATAGAATGGATAACTATGGACAACTTATATCCTTTAATGTACAACCTCCAGCTGTACCAAGCCCAGCTATGCCCAGTGGCAATGCGTTCTGCGCAAGCAGGGTCTGCCTTCGGTTCTTCGGAGCTTGCTCTCTGCAAGGGTTGTCCTGGCTTGAGTTGACCAAATCAAAAAAAATGGAAAACTACAATGGAGAATATCAATAAATATCAATAACACACATATGTATACATATATATACATATAATATATATATATAGAGAATATTATATTTATATAGTTATATATATATAATTATATATATTACGCATAGAATGCATAGACTAGCTAGGTCTAAGATAGGTGCTAGAGGGCTTAGCAAGATTTTAATAAAATATATTAAAATATATGGTACAGTACGGTACGGTTGGTACATATGCTTTCCCTGGATTTCCCTGGTACGTACAAACTATCAAACTGTGGCACCAAACTGTACCGATAATAAGCACCCAGAAGCTGTCCTGAAGCATCGCAGCCAGGCTCTTTCTTCACCTTCTTGGCGAGGTAGGTGACTATAGCTCCGTCTTCGTCTCCTTTTGGCCGAGTTATGCCGAGTTAATTATATCAGATTACAACCAGGTTACATCAGATTACAGTGGATCAGATTGGGCTCTTTCATGCTGTTTCGAACCCTTTAAACACTTGAGAGGGGGGGACGAAAGGTAGGGGGGGGCAAAAGAGAGCAACAGGAAAAATATTGCCAAACTGAGATTGATACTTCTCTTCACTCAAACCTCCTGCAGAAGAAAATGTTAGCCCCCAAAAAAGCTTTGTGGGAATAGAATCAGAAACATAATGTCTTCAAATGTAAAGTAACTTCACGCGCGCGCGCGCGCGCCGCGCGCGCGCGTGAACCATCCTGCATGCAGGTGCTTCTCCGCGCGCGCGCGCGCGCGAGCGCACGCATGTGCGGGACGTAAACATTGCGAGTCTCTATTCCCCGGCACGGCCTCAATGGGACTAGAACATCCACGATAGATCGATAGATCAATACATCGATAGATCGATAGATAGATAGATAGATAGATAAAACTATAAATAAATAAATAAATAGATGAATAAATAGATAGAGAGATAGAAGCATCGATCGATAAATAGATAGATCGATGGCTACCTTGATCGATAAACAGATAGATAAATAGATAGATCAATAGGTAGATAGATAGATAGATAGATAGATCCAAGGATAGATAGATAAATACATACATAGATGGACAACTAGATAGATAGATATATCGATAGATAGATGGATAAGGAGGTAGGTACAGAGTCAGAGAAAAAGAGAGAGAAAAAATGCGGACCAGGGGGGAATCGAATGGGGGGGGGAGGGGGGGGGCCCCCCCCCCCTAAGTCTCCGTTCGTGACTCTCGGCTTTCAATTTCCGGGAAAGGAGCAGCCACCTCCCCCAGTACTAAACTAGTACTAAAGTACATAGAACTCAGGTAGCCTAGGCTACCTTTCGTGATTTGGAATCATTTGGAATCATTTGGGTATATACATGTGGACCATGTGCATCCATTTAATCCGTAATCATTCTGACAATCTTGTCATCACAAATTAATATAATTTAATATAATTTATGCATTCTATAGGTACAAGGCCTGGTATTTCCATTCTACAGTAGCCAAATGAGTCAAAATGATTCAAAATGACGGTCGAATACATTTGAATACATTTGAACGCTTTTCAATTTAACTAACTATACGTGACTGAAGGATACTGCAGGTGAATGCAGGTGATGTCTGCATGTGTCTGCTAAAGTGCTAGATCATAATTACATATAATTACATATAATTACATATAATTACATAATAATACATAGTATTACATAATATTACATATAAATACATATAATATCATATAATTACATATAAATAATTATAATTACATATAATTACGTGATCATACCAGGCCATACCAGGCCCATCTCCTTGAACTTTTCCTGGCTTATCATGCGCAGGTTCCACCTTGCATCTCCGTCCTCAGGAAGCACGCTGCAGTCTGCTTGAAATCCAACTTACTGTAAATCTTGGAGAATACTTTGGAGAGAAACAACATAAGAAACATTAAGAAACCATATATGACAACAATCCATAGCAATGCATAGCAACGCAACATCAAGAATTCATCGGTTCATATCAATTCAACATAACTCAGCTGAATCCAAAAGAATTGAATATCCAAAGAAGAGGCTCTTTTGTTTCGTTTCGGACTTGGGGTACTGAAGCTCTCAGGTGGAAACTTTCTGGGTGCTTCTGGCGACTTCAGAATATACTTGCTTTGCATGATGCCATCGTCAAGATCACTCCAAAGCTTCTCGACCCCTTTCAGTTGGCGGGTTTTTTCTGGCGTCTCCAATCCTCAGCTATCGGGGGGACACAAACAAATTTATTGTATGGCAAATTATATATCTGGATATATTCATGATAATTCATGATATATCTGGATAATTCATGATAATTTATGATAATTCTGAAAATATCTGGAACATTCTGGAACGTATGGGGTTCTCATGGATTCTGTGGGCTCCCATGGATTCTGCGGGCTCCCCACCTATTCAATGGAAAGCGATGGATGGTGAGGATGCATTTTACACTGTTCAGAGGTGGGGCTACCAATTTACAGGGCCATATGTTCAGGATGTACAGGGTCTGATGTCCCAGCTCAAGTTCACTCCCTAAGCTGCAACCATGCCACTGGTCTCTCCTGGCTGTCCTTCCGCAGTGCTGGATAAAGCTTCCTCAGCAGTCATCAACGGAGAAGAGGCATCACGTATTTCATTCTCATTCAAAACCATGCAAGATAATTCAAAATCATTCATCTTACCACTCAAAATGTTCAATCGTATTCAATCATATTCACGTATTTTCATGTATTTTCACCAAATTCATCCAGATTCACTCACCTTTCTCTAGAAAAAAAGTCCCATTACATCAGCTACACAACGGCAATGATAGAGTCGATAGAGTGT